CCATGAAATTGTTTTTGTAGAATAGTCTATAATTGTTGCATAGATCCCTGCATAACCTTTTCCATGAACGCAGGGGCGTGACAAAAAATAGTATGTGTGGCTCGCGCGGGAAGGCCATTTCAGTCTTKGGYGAAATGSGGCACTCGCCTACGGCTCGTGCCGCACACGACGCCCGCGACTGAAATGGCTCACTTCCCGCCCTTGCCACACAATATACTATTGTTGCTCTACATTCCTTAAATTGCCGACCGACCGACGTACCTGTTCTAGCGACGAACAGTCGCGCACGGCTCTTTCTCTTTCGCCACCGCGAGCGCGTCTCTTTCGTTTGGCTCGACGTAGCCTGCTTTTCGTGCATCGATTTTGTATTTCCATTTTTGTCAACCAACTCGTTTGAGTAGTTTCCATTCTCGCCCGACCTCGATATCTGCGTACAACTTTTGTTAATCCGCTCACGCACACCTGACGATCGGCGTTCTCAATCTGTACACTCACAATATCGCAAATGTGTAATCGAAGTTTATTGTTTGTGTAAAAACAAAATGTTTCTGTCGATACACCGTTCGTGCCCAACACCCATGTATTAGCGTTGCTTTTTTTAATTTTAATTTTTATTCTTTTGTAGTTAGCCCACGTGCTATTCTTCTTCTGTTCGGAGTCGAACGATAAGTTGCGTAAGTGTATATAGTGTCGTCGTCGTGTACTGAATTGTTCTTAGTAGCTTCTGCCTTCTTCGCTTATCCACGACTACGTTGCGAATTGTTGCTAATTGGCTGCTAAATGTTGACATGAAATGCAAGTCGAAAATCGCATTTTTCAAGTACGGGGTGGGGCTGGGGACATGTGCGAATTTCGGAAACCTCTTTTACGGACGAAATATTTGTTTGCAAATTTCCACGACTACATTGCAAATTGTTGCTAATTGATGGTTCAAGAAAATTTTCATAATGCGTTTTTAATGATATGGGTGGGGCTTGGGACATATGTCTCCAGCCCCACCCATAGTTTTTTTTGTTTTATGATTAAGTTAATGGCTTGCAAATTGTGGAAACAGTCTTGCAAATTTTTGCTAATTGACTGCTAAATGTTGACTTTTCAAAATGGGTGGGGTTGCCGGTTGGGGACATGTGCGTGTCACATAATGAAGTTTGTCAAACATTTAWTTGATGTTTGCAGGTGTAAATACAATTTTATAGGAATACTGTAGTAAAAATTAGTAAATATTTGACAAATAATATTTAAATGTTGAAATGTTTTCTGGGCAATTCATTTTAAAATATTGTACAATTTTTGACCGATATTTGGCCAAAGTTTGTGTTTAATTTTTTATTAAATAATATGATCTGGTTCAAATGACATTTATCAAACATTTGGTTGATATTTGCAAATGTAAATAAAGTTTTATAGAAATGATGTACAATTTTTAAAAAAAAYTAGCAAATATTTGACAAATAATATTTAAATGTTATAATGTTTTCTGGGATATATATAATATTATAGTAAACGAATGAGAGTAAAAATAAATTTAAATGCCAAACGCGCGACCTGCGACGTCCAGAACTCCAGAATAATTCGCTGAAAAAATGTTATTATGGTAATGTGCACATAAATTCCCATAAATATTTTTAGGAAGATAAGTATTAAATAAAATAGAAACAAATTGCAAGTAACGAATATATTAAGTTACTATGACGTGCCATGAAAAAGTCTGCCCCCGGCCCCGCAAAACCTTGCACCGGCACTGGTGGACGGTATACAAGTATACAAGACTGCGGACGTCTGGACGGCGTGATAGAAGGGGATTGAATGGTTGATTATATTTGTATGAAATAGTTTAAAATAGTTATTGTGGAAGGCTACTGGCTAGTGTGAATGAATGGTTAGGATTTTTATGTCAGAATGGAGGGAGAGATTGCTGATTTACCAGGGAACATTAATTTTTAATTTTATAACATTTAAATTCTAAACGTATTAGGGATTCATTCATTTTGTTCAAGCAATGGGAGATAAAATGTCGAGCAAAGCGAGAACATTTTTTTAAATACATGCCTATTTTATTAGTGCGTATATTATACCCATAAATATATTTACCAATATACTATAGGTTAATAGTGGGGGTCAGAGATTGGTCGTAGACATAAAATTGTGTGCGCTGATTTGTTCGGATATAATTCTCTACAGATTGAACCAGTTTTAGAGTTCATTAAAGTGTGTTTGGAGTGCGCCAGAGTCGGTCAGGTCGATATTTGTTGGAATAATACTGGATAGTCAGTAAAAGTAGCAAAAATGTTTTGTTCAGTGTGGAAAACTATGGAATGTCCTATGTAAATATTTAAAAAATTTTTGGAGCCAATATACTACCCTAAGCAACGCCTGTTTTATAAGGAAGTGGATTTGAGAGAGTTCGCACTCAAAACGAAATTATATTTATCTATAGAATAATAGAAAATAATAAATATATTATATATTATAAGTCATACCAAATTAATTTGCTATGGTGTTGGCTATTTATTATAAAGTATATCAAAGTGGATTGGATGATTGATATTTAATTTTGAATAATCCGTCTTTTCATTTTGACCTACACTGCAATAACTATTATCACCTTATGGCTTACTTTTAGGTATAGCTGAATCATAAATAAAGAAGTAAGCTTGGTATACAGGTAAATAGTAATTTAGAGTGCACATCGCAGTTAATATTATATTGATGTAACAGACCACCAGACATCCCATATTAGGTGACTGTTGTCTCACTTTTGTCCCATATTCAAGAAATACATTTTTACCATGTAAATGTTCATAATTTTAGTTATAAGCAGTGGTGTATTGGGGGGGTATACGGCGTATACCCAATATGCTATTTGTATCCATGGCGTATAGCTTATGACAAATTAATGATACGCGGGTATACGGCCGTATCTACCGTATACCCTAGATGGAAATTTTAAATGATATATGAATTATTGTAAAATACCTATATTTTGAGCGTGAATTGTACCTAATATARGACGTAACGAATATTTTATATTTTTAYGAACAATTATTATCATTTAAAAATCAAGGTTATCACTTATCAGTCTTGTAATCACGATTAAAGATACTGTGTGGCTAAACGTTTAAAAAATATTTACCCACTTATTTTTAGTTGSCATTGTTTAAATCACAGATTAGAACTAGCAGTTAACGATTCAATAAAAGATGTGGGAGCCACTAATCATTTTAAATCGTTTATAGATGGACTTWACGTGTTGTATAACGCATCACCC